TCCGTTCTCACTGCGCCACACCATCTCCCGCAAATGAACAATCACCCACACAAGCTCATCCACCTCGTGGATTCCCACTCCCCTCGCTCACGCAGAGTAACCGTCCGAGAGCGGACATTTCTGCCCCCGATGTCRGACGCKGGTACACCTTGCTCGCATTCMTGGGSYCCCCCCCCAGCGCCGTCTGCCCTGGCTGTCCCCTYTTTCCACACCATTCCCCKCTTAGCATCCAATCTTCGRTAGATCATCACCCACACGTACGAAACGTGCACMATGCCCAGTGAGCTCTACCACTGTGCACGCCGTGCACGCTAGTCCACGYTCCTTCCAATTCCCCCCCGTTGYCTCGCCCCCCTGGCTCTTCTCTCTCCGCGGCCTTAACTGCAGGTACCAGTAAGGCTCRCTGCCCTCCTGACTCTCCGGTACCSAGCTCGAGACGGAATGGTGYCATTGGTTCCARCGGTACAAGGCCTACGGGTCCGGTGTACCTGTCTCCAGCAGCAGTAATCCCRTTGGTACCGCAGTCTTGACCCGGTAGTCTTGGATMAGAGCCCAGCGGTTCCATGAGTTTCATGATCACTGTYCGAGTGAATTTTCCCCCGGACCGGATCAAGTACTGTACCATGTGATAACAGCATCGGCTTCAATGCCCCCTCTCAGCTACGAACCAGCAACCTTGCAGAAACATAATAGCTCCGGACTGCAGTGGCTGCACCGGTACCAGATCAACGCCAAGGTCGAACCAGCGACCATATCAAAACAAAAGAGGCAGACTGGAACACACCCCCCCCGGGCCGCGTCGTGTCGTCGTCAATTTAGTGTCTGTGGCCAGGAATAAGTGTGCCAAAATCGTGAAAACTCACACCGTGTCAACCTTGTAGCGTTAAATTGCGGCCTGTACCATCACCATACCTGGGCCGTACCTGTCCCAGCAGTCTTACCAATTCCGAACCTGCAAACAAGAACCAGTCTGCAATGCMATGCCAGCCCGAACTAGCGGTCATTCCGGCCGTCTCGATAACGAATAGAAGTAGCCCGTACCGACACCGTCCCAGTGAAAGTACTAAGCCAACTCCGAAACAGCAACCATGGTCACAGAATATAGCACCCTGCCGGCTATGGCCAATGTCAATACCAAGCAGAACGTCCCGAACCTGAATTGCCACCCTGAATTTCAACAGCCTGTGCCGTCGTCACACCAGTCCGATGTCGAATACCGTTTTGTGGATAATGTCTCGTCACTACACCGAACCTTCCCTTTTATTCTGCCCCCTGAAATGACTTGCAAGTGGGTCGTGAAGGCACACGGGGATGCCGAACTCGTATAACCTTGCCATGTTAATTACGTACCTGTCCTGAACCTGATATAGAATGCCGCTACGTTTCCGGACCTGAAAACTAACTGCCGCCAAGGTTCCAAACTTGGAATAACTATCGTAGTGGTCCCGGTCCTGGAAGTAAATCACCGCAGCTGTCCCAAACCTGAAAATAAGTCACCGTAGTGAGACAGTTGTTATCGGGCCCATATCGTACCTGAAGCACATCACGCACCGTAGGGCGCAGCCACTCCGTAACAACCCTCGTATCCGTACCGAACCAAACACCATAGTCGACCCAAGGCAGCACCACCCCATGCTGTCCATGCGACTCCTGCTCTCAGAATATCTCAACCGCGGTAATGTTAGTAATCAAGCAAACCAGGGAAAGCGATGCAGCGAACCTCGATCATCGGCAGCAGTGAAAACTGTTAAAATCCGGAGAAAATGTTCGATCCAGGCTCTGAGCTGATGGCGGGTAATCGAGCCGAAATTAGGCCGATCTCCCAATAGTCATGGGTTTCCGTCCCCTTTCATCGTTTTTAATCGTTCTTCGTTTTCCTTAATTCTATTATCTGAAACAGTAAATTAACCGTAAATTCCCCAAAATCACTTGGACAGTGACGCTATCAGAGTCTGGTGTCCCCTCTCTACTGGGGAGTTCGACTGTGGGTGATAGGCGGTGGCTATCGAAACTCTCGCACCGGCTCTCCTAAACACGCTCTGGACCTCGTCGGCTAGGAATTCCGCCCCTCTGTCCATCACTATCTTGCTGACACAACCATACCTAGAAAAATACTCTAGGACAAAGTTCTTTACTTCCTTTTCCGCCTTACTCCTGATAGGTCTACCGTCCACGAACCCAGTGAAATCGTCTCGTATGTTCACGACGTAGTTCATRTTGCCTACCCCTCTCGGCATTTTCACTTGATCGATGTGTACCTTCTCTCCCGGTCGGGTTGGATAGGATGGATGAAGCGGCTCTTTGTATTTCACAAGAGCTCTCTTCTGGCACTCTTCGCAGGTCCTACAATACCTCTCGACGTCCTTATACTGTCCTTCCCACCAGTACAACCTGCGTACCTTTTCGTAGGTTCCTTTGATTCCTCTGTGTCCCCCGACTACCCCGTCGTGAAGCTCCGCAACTATTGTCTGTCTCTCCTCAGGGTCACAGACTACTCGTAAGGGCATTCCCGACCCTACAAGCCTTCGGAAAAGGTGCCCCGTTCTAAGGCAATACTGGGCTGCTTGCCTCCGGATATCTGAATCTTGACTCTCTTCTCTCGTTAGATGTAGTCCGATCATCCGGTACTTGCCCTCGTAAAGATTAACTAGAAACCTCTCGGCGCGGCTCGGCTCTGCCATTGTCAGAGTCCCAGCTACTATCGGACGTTCGAGAGGGATGCGTGAAAGTCCATCTGCCACGGCATTTTTCGTACCAGATACTCTTTCGACCGTGTAATCGTATAGCCGAATCCGTATTAACCATC